TGCCCTAGACAATTCTGATGCACATCGACGCTTCTGCGCACACGAATGAAACCGAGCGAGAAAGCTAGTTGTTCAATGCAGAGAAGCAGGCGGAGCTCAGTTCTTTTCACGCTTCCGAATCGAAAGTTAGCAGTGGCAAAGAGGCGAGCAGAGCGGCAAGGTTCAGCACTTGAGCAGAGGTTTCTGCCTTTCTGTTTTAACTAATCTTTCTCCATGGTGAAAGCGGGATGATTCACACTCAAGGGAAAATGCTGAGGCTTCCATCGCCTCTCTGACTAGTCGTTGTACTGGTGAGACCTTATTCTATGATACCTTCCCTTGTTCTGTGGTCTTAAGTCAATATCAATGAAGATCAGTGGGGAAGATTTGTGATGACACTGAATTACTTGGCGGATTATTATTCCTAATTCCCAAACTTGGTCTTTCTTGCTTGCAAGATGAGATAGAGAGTGAACGATATTATATGCACGGCAGAATGTCCTCGTGTTGATTGTAGAAGAGACCGCATATCACTGAAATAATCCGAAGTAGGAGAGCTTTAATGATGAAAGTCATTGTGAAAATCAATCGAAAATGCTAGGATACCTTGTAGTATGAAGGTAACAGTGATGTGAACAGTATGGCAACGAAGTTTTCAAAAAGGGATGGAATTGAAAGTAATTCTTCTTACTCCCAGGGGAATTGCCTTGTAGCAAATTTCCCACCAGGTTCGATCTTCATGATATGACGCATCCATCACGTGCGATCATAGGTTTCGAGGATTACCCATATAAAAATGAAATAATAATTCCAAGATGTATTCTAATCTATTCACAGGGGGCAGGATGGGAACACATATGGTTGGCGACAGGACCGGACTCCGCCCGCAGGGGCGGGGTTTGCGCGAAATAAATTTAATAATAATTTAATAATCTATTTCTATTCTAACCATGATTGTCATCACCATATCACGTATATATCTATTATGTTGAATAAGCCGTGCAACACATTGAACATGTTCCTCCAGAAAGAACGAAGCCCTTTCTAAATGCAAAACTAATAAAATACAAATGTTAACAAAAAATACTAAGTTATAAAATTGCAAAGTTGCAAAGTAAATTTTGATAAAATTAGCAGATATGTAATTCAAAAACTTGTCCAATGTGTTGCAAGACTTTTATTCCAATCTAACCGGTTTGTTTCCTTCAGATAAGCCGCTTCATATCTCGGCAAATACTGAAAAAGCGATTTTGGTGGTGAATGCAGATCGACATGGTTATTACCGGCAAAATTATGAGAAGAATGGTTGGCAAAAAATAATTAAGCAACTTGCAGAGAATCACAAGGTATTTTATCATAGACATTCGACCG